GGGGAGAAAGAAGGGGCAAAACAGAAGACCAACAATCTGGGTCATCTTTATCAACTTTGCTATCAACAGTTGAAGATGGCTCAGGAGTTCAAAACAAGCATTTGTTTAATTCCACACTTACCTTTCTGACTGTTAAGTCCCTTGTGGTCAAGAGTTCTTTTAAAAAGCATTTAGAACACCTACTTTCAGCATACTCCAGAATTAAACTACAGGACAATTTACTTTTCAAGGAAAGTATCTGACATTAACTGTCACTTAGACATTTGAACTTCACATTTTATCTTTTCACCTTAGTTTTTTTGGTCTCCAGGTATACATGACTGTATATGGACAGTAAAATTACATACAAACTACCAGTAGAGAATTTCAGATTCAGTTTGGTGCTTCGAAAGTTGATTTACATTTGCTTTCCCTCTCCCATTTATGCTGATGATCGTCTTCAATAGCTGATGCTTCATAAAAATCGTACTTAGTTGTCATTATGCATTCTTTTCTTGAGCAATAAACATACTGAAAAGCATAATTCTTAAAAATGTTTTATCATTACCTTTATATTTTATATTTCATGAATACAGTTCTGAATTCCATCCCAGAAATGTGTTTTGTGATGTTAAATGCCTGAAGAACGCAGTATTTTGCTCTGCAGAGAAACACACTCAAATTCCCCCTAGCTACCAATGAACTGGATGGAATGTGCTACGGTAAGAGCTATCGCAGTGGCACGTAGTCTTAGCAGACGATTGGACTTCCATTGCAGAGCTTAATAAAACCAGGTTGTTCTAGCACAGATAGTTTACAGTCTGAATAGGGCACACCGGGTTCCCAAGAACTAGGGATGAGGAGGAAACATACAGTTAAAATAAAAAGCAGTAGACTTTAATAGAAATCTGGAAAAGCATTTATGTAAATGAATACATGTGTTCATTAGTTAGATTTTTCTTAGTTTTGTATTTTCCAATGAGACTAGGGTGCAGAAGTCTGAATACCCCACCTCCCCACTTTATATTTAAAATTAAAACAAAGCCCGTCTCTTAGTCTTTTATGTTAGTCAATAAAATCCACAGGTCAAGTACATCATGTTCTAATTACTTTTTACCTGAAATCTGACTGAAGAATATTTTCCTGAGGGACTAAGTGAGGACATTAAAGGAAACAACCAACCCACTAAAAAAACAACCAATCCTACCCCAAAACACAAAAAATACCACAGCAACAAGCAACCCACAAACTACAGATTACATCAATATATATAACAAAGTAAAGCCATTATAACAATACATCCCATTCAGGTCTCTAAACATTTCTTTATAACACTTCCCATTCCCCCCCATGCATGTTCCTGACTGTTCAGTGTTTCTTTCAGGGACACAGAGCTGGACACTGTATGCTTGAGAACCCCAGAGAAAACCTTTCAAGACCAAATTCAGTGTTCTTAGCAGAACTATGACATCAGCTACTATAGCGACTAAGCTTCAGCCAAAGCCATAAAAGCCTCATCTATGCAATTGTATGTGCGTGGGCTCTACTGGTAGACTGTGGCTGCAGATGGAAAAAAAGTAACTTGAAAATATTAGCCAAAGAGAGGAAGCATACACGCTGAGGGGCATAGCACATCAAAGTCTCACAGGTAGGCCAGCATGAGCCTCCGCTTTAGCCAGAAGCTCACAGTTCTTCCTCTAACCTTATAGCTATGAGTGATTTTTACATGTGGGTGCAAGTGAAGTGTGAAGGAATAAGTGAAGGTACTGTGTGAACAGTTATCTGCTGGAAGTAAGCATCTTAATTTTATTAGCAGCAGTTAATTAATAAAAGGCATTTTAATAAATACTGGTTGTGATCCCACTCCCATCTCAATTCCCCTATCAGAGAAATTTACAATACCAATATATATTCCTGTGAAAGTAACTAACTTTGTGACATACTAAAGTAAAAACTCTACTTAAATTGCACTGTTTTGCTGCCTGCTTTAGTTTATAGTTTAGAAGAAACTCCAAAGGTACTATGATAAGAAGCTTCTTCTGTGTATTACCACTATCTGCTAGAAGCTATCCAGACCCTGACTTTACAGTCATATCTGTGAAAATGCAAGACGGTGAAAATATCTGGACCATACCACACAGCCCTTCATTAGAATCTACTTCATTTCACCACTAGGCCTAGCAGATGATGCAGATACTATGGTTGGCCATATCAATTCTTCTGCTGACCTGGGCTTAACCCACACCTCCATCCAACTCCTCAGAAAGACTAGCAAAATAATATACCGTTCAAATCAATCCATCCCAAAATCTGCCCGCTGTGATCCCAATTCTTTGACATTTGTAATTTACAGGTGGACTAGCCTATAGTTATAAATATACCTTACCTTATGGTATATTACACCAATAGATTACTGGAGCCTCAGCTAGGCTTGTTGATGTATTAATGCAATATGTTGTGAGAGCACTAGCTCACTCTGATGATGTATAGTCACCGTATATATCGTAAGAGTGAAGTACTTCAATGATGTATAACTGTAAAAAGTGCACCAAGCTGAAGAAAACACTAGCAGAAGTTGGGTTTGTTAACATACTACTCCAAAATGTGAACATAGTATTAACAATGCGAATAAGAGACTGATTAGACATGGTTAGGTAGCATGGAGGGGACAAAACAACACAACACCAAAGCAAAACCAAACAACCAAGCAGCAGGAAGCTATTTGCAACATTTTCACTCATTCTGTAAAAGTTAAATTTGATATTTTCTCCTGAGTTTCAGAAAGGCTAAAAACTGAAAGTCAGTTTGAGCTCCAAGTTTGTGAAGAACTTGTCTTCAGTTTTAGAAAGAAAAAAAAAAAAAGACGAAGTCTGATAACATCACACAGAACTACAAAAACCAAGATGCTTTCTGAGCAATGCTTCTCATTAAATACAAGAACAAAAGCAAACATGATTAATCATCCGGGCAGGTGGAACACCAGTAACACACTTGAATAATTTTGCAGTGGAGAGTTGACATAACACCACTATACTGGCAGAAATTGGGAAGGATTGAATATTGCACCATTAATAAGCATAGATTAGTTCATGAGTATTCAAGCCTCTAAATGTGTACTGTTGAGTGTCTTAATAGAGGAAATAATCTTAGGTAAAGAAGTGGGGTTTTTGTTTTGTTTCACTTGTGAGCTACAGAAAACACTTCTTACTAGTATTTCAGATCTGACACTAAGGTCTCAAAAGCAGCTATATACAGAAGAAAACTGACAAGGAATTTACACTTAAAGTTGTAAAAACTGGTGATCAGTTACATGATGTACTTTTACTGTTTAAAATACTTAAGCTTAGATACATGATTCAGAAGAACCAGTTACATTTTTAAAACTTCCAGCCAAATACAAAATAATACATTTACAAAAACAGAAATATACCAGGTTTCTCTTCACTTTTAAAGCATATAAATCTGAACAACTGAATATACTCTGTTAACCCTTTAGCAGACTTGCAAAGACCTTTACAGTAGCAAAGCAATTAAGCTTTACTCACCTCATGTAAGAAGGAAATTACTAGCTGAACTAAAATTGTTGAATATTTTTGATGGCAGGACTGCACTACAAGACATTTTTTGACAAAATATTAAGGTATACTAGCCTTAAGAAAAATTTATGTGGGTTACTAGTTCAGCATAATTATCTTTCTCTATTTCCTCCAAATCAGAAAAGCACAGTCACTGAATGACAGCATCAATTATAGACATAGTGTGAAAGTTTTCAGACAAAAAGGATGATTGACTCTCTTTACTGTAGTCTTTTCACAGAAAATAGTTTTAAGAGCTTGACATGTTCTCAAAGACTGAAATGCTCAAGATGTTGAGCATCTTCCCTCAGAAGGAAAGATGATAGCTGTGAATATCTGGCTTGGAAGCTTTGATATACAAGAAGAAACCTAGGTTTTAGCTTATGAATTTCTCAGCACTCTTTTGAGTAAAACATACTATGTCCAGACCTCCTAGAACCCAGCTATTAAAGAAAAAAAATCCAAATTAATTTTCATTCTTGCTTTTTAATTTTCACTGGTGTCAGCCAGCAGATTAAACGTAAGAGGTTAAATGATGACTACAGTAAAAAGCATACCGTAAAGTTCTCTACAACCTCATGGGATGACTTACATATTATTTAGAATCCACAATGAATAGTACTGAAAGAGATTTCAGCAATCAAAAGATAATTAAGTAAAAGCAACATTCAACATGACACTTACTTCAGATCAACTTGAAGAGGACCATCATTGATACTTTAAGGCCAGATTTTTTTAAAAAAAGCATTCATCAAATAAGGTTGTAAAGTACTTTTACCATCCCTCAGTTTTCCCCTACAGAAATAAACACAATTTTGCTTTGTTAAAAAAAAAAAAAAAGACACTCAAAAAACTGAAAGCCATAAAAAACACTTCAAAGTTGCAGTAGCATTGCTAGATAATAATGCAGCAGAGGTGAAGTAACAATGTCAACAAAAAAATTGGTACCCACATCACCTACCCTTCAAGTGTCTAAGATAAGAAGGCAGTCTTCTTACCTGATGTATGCAACACACATTTATGTTACAAATGCCCTTCAACAGAGTCTCCTTCCACTGTTACACAAGAGTCCTAAGTCAAGGGTCTAAGATGAAGAAATGCGAATGTCCTACCAAGCATTTACTGTGTTTCCTAGTTATTCCTCAACAGTTTTTATTTTCTCCATTCATATCATCTCCAAGAGATTTTTTTACTTAATACAATAAATTACTTCTTATAGGCTTATGCAATAATAGACTTTTATTAAAATAAAAGGCTCTAAAGCCTAACAGCCCCTCAAGGAATTCAATTTCTTCATGTGAAATTTAGGGTACTTATCCTCATACAATCATGTCATTTACTTTTATACCACTTAAGAATAATATTAGGAATTAATTTTACCTTTTTGTGATATGTTGCTTTCCCTTCATGTAAAGGAAGTTTCCCTGAATTTCTTAATAATAGCATTTAAACCCACTGTATCCTACCAGGTGAAAGCTCTGCAGTAAACGGAGGTGAAGACTGGAGTTTATGCGCATGTTTTGGAATCCCCTTCCTTTTCCAAGCAAATTCCATGTCACCTGTTTCAACCTGTCCTCCTCGAGTCTCAGTAGTTTCATTACAAAGAGTTTGAGATTTCAATGATGGCTGTCCTTGTTCAAGTTCAAAATTCAAAATAAGGGAATCAACCAGAGAGTCCAATTCATCCAAGTCCATAAAAGGCATGGGTATTTTCTGGATAGGATTGTTTGCAGAAGTAGAAGACAAGGCAAATAAACTGAAATAGTTGTTAAAATATCCAGCTATGACACAAATCTTTTCTGCAAAGCTCCTGAGAGGGCTTGTGTTTCTGTAAGACCCTATGAAAAACAAAAGCAAGAAGAATCAAATGCAGCATTTTGCAAAGAGAGAACAAGTGGCCCTCCCTCCCTCTTGCTTTACAGTTCTCCTATAGTCTACAGGTTACTGTTCTTACAGGTAAAAACCCAGTTAAATACCTTGTAATGTAGAAGAAACAATATGACAGACTTCAGCTAGGCACTGCTCCAATTCCAAATATTTCGCAGCGATGTTAGTGCTTTTCTTTATTTCCTGATATAGAGATTCTTCTGGTAATTGAGATTCTATTTCTTTCTGTATTAATAAAGAGGAATTTAAAAAGAAACAAATACATGACGGTATATTAACTATTAAGCATGCCTGTTACGGATTCACGTAACACAGGCCAATGCTGAAACACAAAATGAAAATGATGCCAAGTCACAAAATGTAAGACAGCTCTGAAAAGAAGTGCAGATATCATCTATCCTGGCTTTTAATTAAAAATACCAATAACTGTGGCCATAAACTATTGCAGTAGTTATAACACAATTACACTAGCATTACTGAATTCAAGGCTTTCAACTTAAAACAAAACAGGTGGCTAGGCTGTTCATGGTGAGCACGAAAAGGCGGCAGATAAGATACAAGTACCTCCAGTAAAATTAAAATGAAATAGTTTTGAGTGGAAATGCAGTAGCCAGAAAGTTAGCGTTCCAATCACAAGAATGCCACTGAGACAGAGAGTGTTACTATGCAATTGTAAACATACAGAAGGTAGTTTCAATTCCTCTTGTTTGTTAAATGCACCCTTTAAATTTAAACCCCAGGCTCAAAGCATGCATTTTGTGAAACATTTCTCTTACCTTTCTGCAATAAGAGACGTTATTTTCAAGGAATCTGGCTAATGCCACAACATTATCCTTTACTCGATTTTGAATCTACAAAGAAACTTTTAATTATATTGTACACTTGATTCAAGACAAAGTTAAAAGTACATTAATATTTTACAAGGATAACAATGAACACTGGCATACTAATGAGAAAAACACTCAAAAGCAGAAGTAATGTTTTCTGCAACTCAACATGCAATTTTTCGAATAACAATGTTTTCTACCAGTTAATATTTTAACTACATCTGTGAGGTTTTAAATAATCCCTTAATAAAAAGGATCAAATGAGCAAATTTAGGTATTTGCTAAAGAAAGGTTGTCCTGTAATTTTTGTATCACTGTCATTTTTGGTGGTAGGGGTAATCTCTTAGTTAATACACTGGTGTTCCCTCCCCAACTTCACATTCGTTCCCCCAGCGACAAGCATACACAGGACTCCTGCAGATACACAGCAATCTGCTGCAAGTGAACAGCATTATCTGGAAAGCAGACTGCTCAATTCCTTTTGCTGGAAACATGAAGCATTTGGGAGTTAAGCAAGCGCGCAGGAACATACAAGATTTTGGACAGTTTCACTATTATCTGTAGGATTAAGAATGAGAACAGTGAAAACCAGAGCAGGAAGAAATTTTTGCTTTCCTTGAGACAAGAAATTTATCACTCCTCTCCAACTGATTTGAAACTTTCATGCCAGATCATGTATTACAGATTTTTGAGTAATAACAAATTCTTCAGAAATACCTTTTTTATATAACCCAACTCATTAAGGAGATTTTCTTATTGGCCACAGTTCTGCAAATTTCTCAACATTGAAAAACAAAAATAAAAATACATGAGGCACAAGACAGTATTGCTCAGACACAGGTAAACTATCACCTTTGGCCTTGCATTCTGTCTGTACAAAATATTTATTCAGAGGAAAAGTGGCAGACCAAGCCTATATATCCAAACACTGAAAGGAAGCATGTACTCTATATACATCTAGTACCTTGCTGAAGAACATTTCAATCTTTCCAAAGTATTTTGTTGGAATTCAGCCAGACTTTCTGTCAAAATGGCTCTCCCACTAAGAAAATGGCATAAACCCAAGGGGTACTCTAGCTTGCCTACTGCAATATTCTTACAGTCACAGAAATATTTTGAACTATGGTGCATATTCCTTATACTTTGTCTACTTTGCATAATTCCCTATATTTTCATCTTCCTCATGATTTTTTACCTAAGCAAAATAAGAGCACAAAATAACAGGCTGTAGCTAAAAAAAAAAGCCCCTCCATGCAAAAAAACCAAACCACCCACTACTAAATTCAGCATGGAATGAGGTCTGTTCTGCTTTAAATGTCAAAATACACTAGACACACCAATAATGGTATGCTGCTTTCATGAAAGAGCAACTCTACCCCAGAACTCTGGCTTCAGCATACTCGGGGCAGAGGGGGAAGGAACAACAAAACAAAACCCCCAAAACAAACAATCTTCCCAAACCTATTCAATTTGGTAAAATAACTGCTGAACTGTTATCAGGTGGGGGAGCACACAGAAAGTACACACACACACACATCTGTTTATTATGAGGTAGTAGGAATAGCTCTTCTTAAAATGACAAGAATAATTAAATTGAGGTCTTGAGAGATAAAAGGTTCCCATTGTAATTCCTTTTCATAATACAATAAATTTGGAAGGTGACAGGATAACTCATCAATACAATATGAAGAATTTGCTGTAACTTTCCTATAAAGTGTAATAAAGAAGTTGCTCAAATTGAAATACCACTGCTGCTTTATCAGCCTGGAAAGTATTTGAATGACACAAACTCAAGCAGGACATTTCTGACTTACGTGCTATTCAATAGCTACTTTAGTCAAACAATTTCCCCCTGAAGTGCCCAATTCATGAAAGTGCTTCAGCATACCCCAAGTGTTAAGTACAGGAGAAGACTAGCTCTTAAAAAGGTAATACAGAACTATTTTAATATTTAGGTAGCATGGTGTTTGAGACCAGGACTGTAAGAACAACGTATGACAAAATGAAGTCTTCAAGCTTTCTAATAAACTTCCTGACAATAACAGTGAGTATAGTAATCACATCTGCTATTACTATTTATCAATATAAAATACCAATTAACTTTCAGGATCATAAAGTGTTATGTATTAAATATGCAATCTTTTTACACAACAAACTTAACAGTAGTATACAGAACAAAAGGTCCTCTTGCTCCTGTGTGTCAGTTTTCATGTTCTCCCTCTCTTCCATGGTCACACTGTAAAATTTCACACAAAATGCCCTCCAATGCACAGAGACATAATTCTAAATAAAATACACTTAAAAGTTCAGTCTACATATGGGTGAAAGTCTAAACACTGTAAAAAATTCCACAAGACTGTAGTCAATATTCCCACTTACCACCCATCTCAAACCTGTGTTACTACTTACAACTGTATTCTTACTATAAACTTTCTAAACAGAATTGCTAAAAAATAGAAGGACATGAACAAGTGCCTCTAAGATACAGTAATAATTTTTAATCTTACTTTCATCTCACCTCATTTTGTGGATATTGTTTCACGAGTTCTTTCTGCACCATTCGTGCTTTTTCCTGTACAGTATTAATGAGAAACTCCAGCCCTGAGTCTACTCCATCATAAATAGCAAGCACAAAGTCCTTTTAAAATAAAGGTTCAAAACATAAGAATTAAGTGAAATTGCATGGCCTTGAATGAAAACATATTTTCCATAGTGGGCTAGAAACATAATTTTGTTTTAAGCAAGTTGTTCAGCGCTGGTATATTCAGTCACATGCCATTCTTGGACCACAGGGGCTCAGCACCTTAACCTCCTTTTCCTAACTTTCTTCATATTTCTGAAAATTCTATGTGGTACTTAATCACAGATTATTGAAATAAGTATTGTATTTCAGTGAAATAGGATTGTATCTGAACTGCGATTGTACAAGTCTACCTAAAAGCACAGTATTTCCTTCTTTTTATGGGTGGAAGTTATAAAGATTTAAAATGCATTTTAGCTAAGGAAAAACACAAACATTTCAAGGGTATTAACACATATGCATTTTCACCATAGAAATTAAGTATTAGATAAACTCTGAACATACTTCAGTTGATCAAATTGTTGTATAAAGCAATTTGCTTCAACATACAGTTACTGAAAGTAAATGCGATATGAACATTAAAATTACTATTTCTAATACACATTTTTTCACCTGTAGACTAGTTGCAGGAATGTTGTTCTCTTCAGAAAAGGAAATATCTGCTCTTGTGACTACTGCCAAGTATCCTATGTATTTCATTGTTCGTTTTACTGTTTGGTTTACTCTGCCCCATGCTTCTGTTACCATGGAGGATATATCTGAAGAACATCCCTGAGAAATAAAGGCATATCATCCAGTGAAGCTAGAAAGCATCTTGGGTCAAAGAGCACACACTTTCTATAATGCAAGAGTTTGTAGCACACAATAGCTTGAGGCATTTTCAGCTTTACATCTTCCTACTCCCAATGGCTTACCCACCACAGTTAAAAGACCCCACCTTACAGTCACAGGGAAGAATGGTATCATCATAGTCACACAGTAAAAAAAAAAAAACCACTACTTTTCACAAGGCTGTAGCAAGTGTAATATTTACTGGCCACTGGTTTATAAATTTATGAACAGTAGCACTTCACAACCTAAAACTAGCATTTGCTTTTGTCACTGCATGTTTTAATTTCCCCTTTCATGTTTAAGAACCTGTGCTATTTTCAGTGCCTGACCACAGAAAGGTTCTACATTACTCTGAACTAGGATATGAACCTACCAGTTTAGCCAGCAAAAATGCACCCATTGCAATTCACCTTCCTTAGATGTGTCCATGTGCATATGAGAGACATTTAAGTGTTTTTTAACAAGTCCATAGTAA